TCCTATAATTGAATTCACCGTCGCGCTATCTATATATTTGTATGTCCACACTTACATTTCTTCTATACATGTTGTATTGGAGAAATAACAATCCTTAGCAACCACCCGCCCACGCTCCTTTACGTGAGTGGGTGTGGTCATGGCAAACAAAATGGTGGCTTACACATGGGACAAAGTTAAGAGCTTTCTAACAGCAAGAGAGCATAGAGATACTGTCTAAAAACTTTTCTAGAAGCATTATAAGGTAGAGAGAACCTCTATAAGTCTTAATAATGACCAAGTTGTACTTGCAAGGTGGTGAAATCAATTATAGGAATATTTTTACCCTGTTACGCTTGTTTTTTTTCTAATTTATTTTATTTTATTTTTTCTAATTTATTTTATTTTTTTCTAATTTATTTTATTTTATTTTTTCTAATTTATTTTATTTTTTCTAATTTATTGTATTTTATTTTTTCTAATTATTTTTTCTAATTTATTTTATTTTATTTTTTTAATTTATTTTTTCTAATTTATTTTATTTTATTTTTTCTAATTTATTTTTTTTCTAATTTATTTCAATTTTTTCTAATTTATTTTATTTTTTAATTTATTTTATTTTATTTTTTTTCTAATTAAACATCTTTTTTTCTAATTTATTTTATTTTATTTTTTCTAATTTATTTTATTTTTCTAATTTATATTTATTTTTATTTTATTTTTATTCCCCCTATTATTCAGAGGAGGAGAGGATGAAGCCTATCCCCAGAAGTGCTTTCTCTCAACACGTTAAAGAGATGCACAGAGAACGAGAGAAAGGATTTGAACTTGAATATCACGTACGTCAATCAAACTCCACTTTAAATTTAAAAAACAGCAGCTGCTACATACTAAAAACTCGCTCATTCATTTTAAAAATTCTCTCTCTTTTCTCTCTTTATGTAGTCACTTGCTTCTCCTAAAGTCTATCCTCACTTTATTGCTAAACTCGATTGCAATGGACCAAAGAACAGATTCGCTAACATCTATCCATGTAAGTGTATACATGTACATGTACAAGTAAATATAGCAACAAAATCACCAAAAATAGTCAAGCACAGGTAGCTATTATTTCTCCAACAATCAGATCTTTTTTTAATTTTTTTTGTATTAGCTGGTACAGTGCAATTATGTTGCTTGTAATATATTGATACGGTTAAGTATTTTTTACTGCAATAATTCTCATTAAAATTTCTATTAATCCTTTTGGTGTACATTATGTAATAACATATGTTTTGATTGCCACTATATAACGTAATCACAATTAATATCCATTACCAGTGTACATGTACGTGACAGACAATGACTCATCATTATTGTCACCTTTATACTGCACATACCAACACCTTACATATAGAGAGAGTGGGCCTGAACTAACAAGTGCATGTACAGTTCTTTTATATTATAATTAGCTTTAGTTGTCATGCTTTCAATGGCTGTGATGATGTGACATGACCAATTACATATTGTATTGAGAACTAATTCAGATACAACAAGGAAATTATAAATATGCTTGTCACGTAGACAGTGCATGTACTACATTGTTGTGTATGTGTGTGGTGTTATTATTGTTGTTACATATTCTCTAATTAGTTGATTGTATTTTGATGGCATAAACTTATTTGGTCTGTCACTCATCATGACATATACATGTACATGTACTTACATATGTACGTATAATTGCTCACTAGTTAGTATTTCTTACCTTTTTTCTCCTCCCCCTTCTCTCTCTCTCTCTCCTCCTCCTTTTCTCTTATTCCTGTAGTTGATGATTCACGTGTTGTCCTCTCAGTGTTGGATGGTATTGAAGGAAGTGACTATATCAATGCTTCATTTATTGATGTGAGAGAGAGGGAGAGGGAGGGAAGGAGGGAAGGAGGCAGGAGGGAGGGGGAGAAGGGATATGAGAGATAAATTGAAGGGATAGATAGTGGATGAGTATAAAGGACAAAGAAATGAAGTGTAGATCTACAGAGTGTGAAAAGGTGGTTTATGTTTAATTGTTCATCAGTTTGTTCTTTATTATAGGGCTACAATAGACGGGATGCTTATATAGCAGCACAAGGTACAGGAATACAGTCATTCATTTTATAGTGCATGTACATGTACATATC